TACGAAGTCATTGTAGTTCACTAACGGTAATAGAGAAGCAATGACATTATTTATAGTGAGATGACCTGGAACTGTGGATAGTAAGGAAAATGGTATAATATACAGTAGGAGTGTTATATGTAGATAGTATTCTCTCTTCTGGTAATATCTTTATTAATGATATATCTTTAAATATTTAGGTGAACTTTTTCAGAGCTAGAGTTTAAATTGACATAATGAATACTAGAGTTTCAGTGTCAAAGTGCCAGAGATAAAAAAAAATTAAAGTTACACAACCTTGAAAAGACTTAATTATCATGTTTCACAACCAGACATTATAATCCGAGTGGACTATTTCACTTTCCATGTTATTACTGAAAGGAAAGTCTACCACACTACTCAGCTGTATCAGCAATCGTTTCTTCTTTCCAAGGCATAGTGAGGCGAAAGAGCACTCGAGGTCAGGCGCTGCATCATGCGACACGCCCACCAACGTCGCCACGCTCAAACAGCTACAAATACTGAGCAAGGAACCCCAGTCGGTACAGTTCGGGTGAACACTTTGAAGCTCGAGCACCATGAGGATTCTGGTGCGATTTCTCTAGTGGTTTATTCTGTTTAATACACGTATCAGACTCTGCAGCGTTCTTCACTGACCGTTTTACTTGCCCGAAAGAAAGAACTGGTAGCTAATTAGCATAGTTACTAATTGCTGTGTCTTACCATCCCCAGGTTGTGTTGGCAGTGCTGGGCGTGTGCTCCGCCTCCCTCCAGCAGGCCTACAACCACGGCTACAACTACGTCCAGCCTCGCTACGTCGGGCCCTTGGCATCCACCGTCCCCGCCGGCGTCGACGGAACCATCACTCCCGTGTCCGATACCTACGAAGTGGCCGCCGCTCGTGGCGCCTTCTTCAGGGCCTACCAGGATCAGCTGGCGACTGTCAACGCCCTCCGCTACGGCGCTCCCGCCACCCACCACGCCGTACACCACAGTGCGCCAGCTGTGCACCAGAATGCACAAACTGTACATCATAATACACCAGCTGTCCATAACAGAGTGCCAGCTGTGCACCATAATGTAGATTCTGTACATCACAGTGCGCCAACTGTGCACCATAATGCACCAGCTGTGCATCATAATGCACCAACTGTCCACAACAGAGCGCCAACTGTGCACCATAATGTAGCTGTGCACCACAGTGCGCCAGCTGTGCATCATAATGCACCAGCTGCGCACCACAGAGCGCCAACTGTGCACCATAATGTAGCAGCTGTGAGCCAAAGCCTCCCAGCTGTCCCCGACCAGGTCCGTGACACCCCCGAAGTGTCGGCTGCAAAGGCTGAGTTCTTCCGCCTGTACAACCAGCAGGCGGCAGCAGCAGCCGCGGCGCCGGACCATCACGCTGTCTCCCCCTACTGAATTGTCACCAAACCTTCGAGCAGATACAGCTAGGATCAAAAGTTCGCATTCAAAATCCAATCAAATAAAGAAAGCATTCTATTTACTTCTTTACATAACATCCACAAAATATGACGAGTGACACAGTCAATATTATTTGTATCCATTTCTAAGAAAATATATGCATGATATACTAAACTACGGTATATAAAGTACCATAACAATGGCAATAGGAGTTTGCCTATATTTTTTTTCTTGATTGTCAAAAAAAGATTCCCACTCCATACTAATTGTTATTCAGAATGTTTATCTTATATATATATATATATATATATATATATATATATATATATATATATATATATATATATATATATATATATATATATATATATATATATATATATATATATATATATATATATTAAGAATTATATATATTTTAAGAATTATGATGAACTTGATTATATCTAAGGACTTGTATCTTACATCAAGTACTTATGTAACTCACGTTTATGCGAGAGGTAATTCCTTGGAATACAATCATCAGAAAAATGAATTTAACCTGTAATTAATATTAAGTCTGTTCTTTAAAATTTATCTATTGAAAGTAGCACTCTAATTAATCAATACCTTTACATATAAGTATGGGATTTTTTATTATTATACAGATATCCACACACACACACACACACACACACACACACACACACACACACACACACACACATATATATATATATATATATATATATATATATATATATATATGTATGTATGTTTTTTATGTATATACTTTATATTTGTGTTTGTGTTTTGTTTGTGTGCAGTATGTGTTAGCATGTTATGTATTCGCCAAGTGGAAGGCGCAAGAGACACGCAAGGCCAAATCTTTAATGGTACTACCAAGGCTCAAGGTCAAGTAAACTAAAGATGAGTAAGCTTGACAGCTTAAACAAATATCAAGATTCTAGTAAAATTTCACTTATCTAGCCTTGATTTTTACAGTCAAGTTCCAGTAGCTTTTTTCTTTATACTTATATCACCACCTTTGTTGAAGGCTAAACTAGTTTTAATAACATATATCTATATATATCTACCAGGATCAGCTGGCGACTGTCAACGCCCTCCGCTACGGCGCTCCCGCCACCCTCTAATCTGTGCACCACAGTGCGCCAGCTGTGCACCATAGCTTCCCAGCTGGTTACTCCGCCGGCCCTGTCGTCCACCAGGCTGCCCTCAGTTACGGCGTCCACGGCCAGGTCCGCAACATCCCCGAAGTGTTCTTCCGCCTGAACAACCTGCAGGCGGCAGCGGCAACCGTGACGTTGGACTATCTCGTTCTTCACGACGGCTACTAAATTATGATTAGATCTTCAAGATAATTGAATCGGAATTATGATATAAAACAATGCATGTATTTTTACGCGCAATTAAAAGGTAAGGAAAGAAATGTAAAGAAAAACAACGTCAACTTTTTGTCATAATTTCAACTGAATAAGACCTTGGCAGCAGATGTCCTGGCGCTCTGCTTTGGCCCTCAGAATGTCATAAAGATTTGGTCAATTATCTTTCTTTCTACAAACCTTGTGATGCAAAAAAGAAAAAATAAGGAAGAAAAGTAAAACCTTAAGTTAGCAATCTGAAAATCCTACTATTACATTTTGTTTTAACGTTTCAGTCATAAAGCGTGATTTTCCCACAGAGGTCGGCCACTGAGTTTACCAATTACTGAAGAGAAAGATTCCATCACATCCTGTTGCGCACAACCACTCTTGTACATGATTTATTAGGAAGAAAAAGATACATATAAACACTTCTTTGACCATTCCTTTTGTTTTCTTTCTTCCTTTTCCTTTTTATTTATTTTTCTCTTTTTTCTTACCTTTCTAATGTTTCATTTAATCGTTTATTTTTATTTTTATTTCTTAGTTCTTTAATTTTTGTTCTTACCCCTGTTCTATCAAAAGGCATTTTTTCCTTTTATTTTATTTCAATCTTCCATTTTTCCTTCTTCTCCTTAATTTATTATAATTAATTTCGTCTTCCTTTCCTATTCTATCTCTTTTTTCGCCGTTTATGTTTTGTTTTCTCCTTTCTAATGTTCCCTTTTCGTACTCCCTATACATGTACATTGTCTACTTAAACAATTAATATACAGACAATACACAATGTATTTATAAGAATAAAAGTTATATCGATAAACAGACATGCATGTTTCCTATATGCATAAAAAAGAATCTTTGTTTCTTTTTTGCTTTTCCCTAATTTCTTTTCTTTGTTACGAGATTTTAATTTTTTTTTCTTTTTCTTTTTGCTGTGCTGGAGTTCGTGAGCCCTTTTATATGTAACTAGAATTTAAAACAGAAAATGGTGCTAAAAGGCATAAAACACGAATTTGCTTTTTTTTTTCATGCAGACAGTTGATACTCGACAGCAACGGAATAAAACAATATAATAAATTTACTGTGGCATTTTAGTTACGTTTGACTTATTACCTGATGTTATTAACCACATTTCTAACGTGCATAATCCACCCCTCCATAGATAATCTAACAATGACTTTTCTCGATAATATATTTTGTTTTTGTATAGCAATGCTTGCTATATCCACCGAATATTAAATTATGGCAACTTTTTTAACGTAGGCTTAGTTACTATCATTAATGTATAATCAATAAATCTAGTTTGTGCATTGTGGGTTTTTCTACCTATTCGTATTCTGAATAGTCTTGTTGCCTCCTTATTATGGAGAAACAGTGTCACAACTCTTTAATAAATCTTTCTGTATTAACTTTCAACATTTCAACAAAATTCCAAATCCTCTTACTCTAACACATAGGCACAGCCCTGGCGTCTATCTAATTACTTTATTTGAATGGTGACTGTCTCGATAAACTCTCCTGTGCTTTACTGAGCACAAGCTGAACAAATGAACAAAGTTTACTGCGATGAAAATGGGAAAAAAATATAAATTAAGATTTACTACTAAAATTGCCAACTTTTTGTTCTACGCCAATGATCTTCCGTATACGAAAAGTGCTATGCACACTGGGTATTCTTTTTTTAAAACCGAAGAGAAAATGAGAGAAGTGGGTTTAGAAAGACAGAGAATTCAGTTCTTGGCCTTTATTTGACGATCAAAATGTTCAAAATCTTTGCAAAAGTTTCATTATCTGACAGCTCAGTAGTTGTAGTGAATGTGATGGTCTGGCGCTGCGGCTGCTGCTGCTGCCTGCTGGTTGTACAGGCGGAAGAACTCAGCCTTGGCGGCCGACACTTCGGGGGTGTCGCGGACCTGGCCGAGGCCCGCGGAGTAGTGGCCAGCTGGCACGCCGGTGTGCACAGCTGCTACATTGTGGTGCACAGCTGGCGCACTGTGGTGCACAGCTGCTACATTGTGGTGCACAGCTGGCGTACTGTGGTGCACGGCGTGGTGGGTGGCGGGAGTGCCGTAGCGGAGGGCGTTGACAGTCGCCAGCTGATCCTGGTAGGCCCTGAAGAAGGCGCCACGAGCGGCGGCCACTTCGTAGGTATCGGACACGGGAGTGATGGTTCCGTCGACGCCGGCGGGGACGGTGGATGCCAAGGGCCCGACGTAGCGAGGCTGGACGTAGTTG